TTATAATATTTAATATTACATATATTATATATACACAATATGCATGTATATATGAAACACAACTATAAGAAAAAACTGGTAAATAGTGCTTTGCACACTATGAAGTTACCCAGAATCCAGCTTCCTAGGATTATGTTCTTGATGTGGGCGTTTCTCCTGCCGGTCCACTCCCTTCTTCCCAGAGCTGGGCATAGACCCCCACTCAGACAGGAGAGCACCCCTCCTCCTCCCAGCAGTGATACCTTCTCAGTTGAGAGGCCATCTAGTTAAGTGATTTAAAAACTGGCAGAGTTCAATTCCAAGTTCCATCACTTACAGGCTGTTAGACTTTGGGCAAGTTACTTGTCTGTAAAATAGGAATAAATAATAAAGCATTTCTAATACGGCTGTGGTGAAAATTAAACAAGTTAGTTAATGCAGCCAAGTGTTCAGAATACTGCGTGGTGCACAGCAGCTCCCACGTAAGCTTTGGCTGCTGCATCCTTCCAGGGCTTAGTTAAGTGCAAATAAATAAAGTGGTCCTGCTGATTGTGGTCCTTATGGAGCACTTGCTCTGTGTCCTGGACAAGCCTGAGCCTTCGTTTAAAACTCACAGCAACATGGGAAATGGGAATGATCCATCACTTTTACAAAAAGGAAACAGAATGCAGAGAAAGAGAGTAGCTTTGGCTGGTCAAAACTGGAGCCAGGCCTTGAGCCCAGTCAGCCTGATGCCCAGTGCAGGGGCCTCTCCCACTGGACCCCAGGTGGAGAGAGGGAGGCCCCTCTCGCAGAGTCTTTCTATGACCAGGCACAGGCCTGAGTGTTTCTGGGAGGTTTTCTTGTTCCAATCTCACACCGAACCTGGAAGAGAAATCTTATTTTTCACATTGCATATATTGTATTATGGGGAAATGGAAGCTCAGAGAGGTTAAGTAATTTTCTCAAAGTCGAACAGCAAGTAAGCAGTAAAGGAGGCATTTGAACCCAGGTCCAAGAGATTTTGCAAGTCCTTGCTTTAACCTCTTCACTTTGCTGCCTCCATATGTATTGCTTTTTTAACAACAATACGATTATACTAAATGTGGTAGTTTGTTATGTGCTCTTTCATTTAATAATAGACTGGGTACCTTTTTCCACACTGATGTATATGTGTTTATGTGGAGTCACTCGGTGGTGCAAATGAGTAAGCACTAGACTACTAGCTGGAAGGTTGGTGGTTCAAAACCACCTAGAGGGAAACTTCTGGGCAACGTGGCACTATAGAAAGAAGCACCACGGCATCCCTCCACAGCAAAGATCTGAAAACCTAAGTCAAACAGAGACACACGTCAATCCTGAGACCATAAGCATCAAATAAAGAGAAAAAGAACTCAGCCAAGCACCAAATGGAATAAAAAACTGACAGAGAACAGAGCGAGGAGAGATACATGCAGAGGTCCCTTATCAGCTAACACAGCGTGGACCTGCCATCTTGGACTCCTATCGGAGATCGGCGAACAGGGGGTATGAGAAAGCAGCTTCATGGAGCTTCCAGAAGGAGATAGAACCAGTGATATATGCTTTCCACCCCCCACCCTTCTTCACCCACACTTGGCCTCCTCTGCTTCCTGCAGCCACAGTCTGTTGCCCAGAAAGCACCAGCTTCACCAGGAGCCGCTTAGATTCACCTACCCACAGTGGCCGGCTCCCTGAGTGCCATTTGTTGGCTGCTGGTGTTGCTTTTTTCTGCTGCTTTAGATTTCTTCCTTACCTCCCACCTCCTCCTCTTCCTCCTTTCTCTCAAATACCTGGCTCCATGTGGCATCTTTGTTTCTTCCTGAAAGGCTGCGAAACATGGCTCAGTTGTGAAACTGCTTCCCAGCCCATGTCGCCATGCTGGTGGGACCCCTCAGGGCTTTTGTTTGTTTGTTTGTTCTGATTTGTTCTGTTTTGATTTGTTTGTCTGTTTTCTTTTTCTTTTCTCAGCTTGGGAGCCCCTTCTAGCTGGGTAGTACTGCACAGCTTAGGAGCCACTCCCTTACTCTGCACACATGTGCAGTGGCATCCCTGGGGGAATTTCTTTTTTCTTGTTTTTTTTT